CTTGGTTGGAAACTGAATGCAAAAAGCTATATTTGGCCTAGTGACAGTGTTGTTGGTGCAACACCACAGTCCCCTTCAGTTAATTAAGATGTGGATGTGGCATGTGGTTTATTTTAATTTTATTTTTGTTCAATCAAGAACTTAATTATTTAGTAATTCTGTCTCCATATAGTTTGGACCTAAATATTTAGGATGTAAATAATCTCCAAGGTTGCTACATAAATATTTAGTGTGCACACTAAATGTATGAATGAATAATGTTGTTAATTAGGACTAGGTTCGTAGATGTTTGCCAATGATTATCTTTAGACGTGAGCTGGTTTATTTGACGTGCTACTCAGTGTTGCCAGCAGTCTGTAATAACAAATAAATTGTCATTAGACTAAAATATTACAGCAACCAAGGATTAACTAATACAAACTCAAACAAAATATATCTAATACAAATAAATCAACCATCCACATGTGCATGTAAATCCATAAAGTACACAAATAACTCAATTCATGTACAGATTACAGCATTAGGCACAATCTCAGTGGAAACACGAACAGCCAGCGCTTAGGCTTAGTTTAACGTAAGTGGCACTTTGGTGCCATCATGAAATTCATACACAATGGCGGCAGCTGGCGGCACATGCCCTTTATTACTACATTTACTGCTAGAACACAACAGAAAGCAATCACATGCAGCCGAACGTCAGTTACAAATAATGGGATTTAAGGCCAAACAGACCTAACTGAGTTTCCACTATAACAAACTGAATCTAGAATAAACAAGCAAAGCGCAAGATGCGATACCTTACTTTCTGTCATCAACTTAACACTCGGAGTATCACTTCTCAGGACTACACCAGGAACACGGTCTCACATGCTAGGAATGCAGCAAACTGACCCGGAAGTAGGCTATTCAAATTGCTCTCATGAGCGGTAGCGCGGCCCAAAACTCAAGCTTACGTCACTTCCTAGGATACTCTCTAAACTGAGATTACAAAATAAAACAGAAATGTTGGCATCTTTTATACAAATGTAGTGGTTACATTTCTTTGATAGACTAAATAACCCAAAGATATTGCTGTTAAATCATCACTGTAACTTTCCAAATGGCACGCAGAGTTAACTCTGGTTCTGTCCTTCAGACTCTGGTTGGCTGCAGAAGGCGGTGTGGTCTGGTGATGATGGAGGGCGAATCATTGAGGAGTTGCAGCTGTTTCAGGATCCTCAGCCCATTCGCTTCCTTCAGCTCTCCTCTAGAAGTGTAGGTTACAGCTACATGTCTGTAGACTAAATGGACCTGGAGCTAACCTTTGAACTCTGATGATCTGCAGGGTCAGCTGTACAGTGCAACTAGAACTGCTGTTGCTCAGCTCAGTGTGAGGGACTGCAGCCGCTACACATCCTGTGCCGACTGCCTTACAGCCAGAGATCCATACTGTGGCTGGGACCGTCTCAGAGGCCTGTGTGCTGCTGTTGCTGGTGCTTCAAACCTCTCCATGTATGTCACACTAACTAAGACATGTTCACTGTGTGCTACATTTATAATCAGAGGATTGAATTCATTTGTTGCAGGATCCAGAACCTCACTGATGGTGATGTTGGAATCTGCCCAAACTCTCATTGCAAGTATTCCCCACATAAAGCTCTTTACACACCTTTACCTTAGTGAGGAGAGTAGTAGGAGAATTTTTATGGCTGCTTTGGCTTCTCCCACAGGGTCAAAGATTATCGACATCCACACCACAGTTGACGTGGCACAGTTCCTCCCCTGCTCCCCTGACACCAATCTCCCCATCAGCTGGAGCTTCTCTGGTAACATCCTTGAGCCCGGTCCCCGACACATTCTGCTCAGCCAGGGACTCGTTTTAACACCTTCACTGATGAAGGCCTTTACACCTGTGAGACAGTGGAAGTAGTTAAAGGCAGAAAGCACAGGATGGCCGTGATCCGGTACCATGTAAAGCTTGCAAAGGACAGAAAGGAGAGGGGGGTAAACTGGTTTCAGGCAACAGTTATTTACATTTTAGCTTGTGTTTGTGTGTTGTGTGTAATGCTCATCATCTACGCATGGTGGAAGCAGAAACTCGAAACCTTGTTGGCAGTAGCAGTGAGAGTGATGATACCACTACAACCAGAGTTGAAGACAGAGCCCTGCCACTGTGGGAATTCTGGTCCCAAAAACCAGGACAATAGTTCTGGTTCTGGTACTGATAAAACCAAACCAACTGGGGAGGAAAAGAGGACAAAATCTACTGTTTAAAACAGATTTATAGTTGGACAACAGAACAACCTACTTTGCATCACTGCCATCAACTCTGTAAAAATAAATGACGAAAATATTAAAGTGTGGTATCTTTGCTTGTATCTTGGGTTAAAATGATTAATTAGTTGAATCAATTATTGAAATAATCATGACTTAATTTAGTAATTGATTAATTGTTAACTACAGTTTTCAGACTAAAAGCCATTTGCGAAAGAACAACAGAGCAACATTTTGCCCTTTAGATCTAAAGAACATGCTTGTCTGTAAACTGTTCTACACAAACGCTTGTAGTGGTAGATTTTTTCTCCTTTGCTATGAATGATGAAGTGTCCATTGAAACTGTTTTGTCAATTTTTTGATTTTTAAGATGCTAATTTTCCTATTAAAATGTATTTAAAAATAGGCTTCAGTGGTTAAAGAATCTGCAGAATGGCAATATTTCTTAACCTGATTTATCAATTCAACTTGGAAAGCCATGTAGATAAAAGTCTGACAATGGTTAACTATGACAATAAAGCATGTCAAAAGTTGTTGAGCATTGATAATATTCACATTTATGCATTATTTTAGGATAAGTTGTTGAACGTTGATAATATTCACATTTATGCATTATTTTAGGATAAGTTGTTGAACGTTGATAATATTCACATTTATGCATTATTTTAGGATATGTATTTTAAAAATCAATTGTGAATGTGTGTTGGTGAGCCACTATCAACTACATGTAGAAAAAAAACATTAATGTTTATAGATATGTGTTTAAACACACATTGAGCTCAAATGTAGCATAATTTGGCTGAAATTTGAGAGCTTTTGCTGGCCCAGATTAAAGTGTATTAGGCTTAATCTAAATAAAATGACTACACCATGGAGGAAGGATGATTCTCCTGCCTCCATGATCATAAAGATCACTAAAATTTCCTCTCTTCTCTTCTTTTTTCATGCTGCTCTGTTAAATACAAAACAACATTAAACATCAAGTGCACTCATTGTAAAAGTTTAATTTGGTATCATTCAAACAAAGAAGCACAGATTCTTATCAAACTTTGAAGAATGAAGAATGTCTGATTTACTTCAGTAGTGAGATGAAGCATATTTCACTAATATGGAAATAAGGTTACCCTGAATAAATAGAGTAAGACTGTGTAGTGCAAAATTTGTCGCAATAACAATCACTGTTTTTTGGGTAACAAATTGTGCAATTTTATAGCACCATCTAGTGGGGGACGTTGACAAAAACTAGCTGGACATTGTTAGCCTTGTGTTTGTAGTTGACGGTGCTAAGGAATTTGTGGAATTTTTCACAATTTGAAAATTATGGGCAGTTCAATTTTGTAGCTACGTAACAATGTTTATTTAACCGTTACATTCTAATTGGGAAAAAGCTCTGCCACAATAACTTGTTTTATTTCTTATTCAGTGTATATCGTGCTAAGTTTTACTGTGCTCTCCTTTGGACAGTGGTCATCAGTTGGAGAAACTTTCTAGGAAACTTTGCAGACATGAATTTTGTTAATGGGGCTTACCGTTTTGGAGTTATACATAAAAAGCCACATTTTCTACTATAGCGCCAACTACTGGTGAGTCTGCCTCAATATCTTTATCTGAGTAGCAGTGAGGCTATTCAGGGCCACCACTAGGAACCTTGGCAAAAAATTAAACTGGGCCCCCTGCACAACTACTGTTAGAATTTCTTGAGTCTATTTGTTCCATATGAAGCGTCACAGCCTGGCTTTCTTTGGTCCAATACTGATATAGTACAATATTCACTGCTTGTGAATTTTACATCCAACAGTTCACATACAGTTCGCAAGTCGGTTGCTAAAATGTTTTATTAGTTTTAGCTTTCTGAAATGTCTCTCTCCACGAGCAGCAGTCACAGACAACATGCAAAATATACATAAAGCAATCCAGACTTCTTCACAAAAACCATGCAGTTGCATTTTATTCAAGCTGCAATAAGTGAATACAGTTTGTTTATCACTGGGGTGGGGGTGAGGGGTTAATGTTGGTATCGGGGTTAGAGCAGCTGCTGACTGACTCACCTGCTGTCAGGTGGTAAAAGGTAAAGGTACAGGTAAAATATAAGAATGTCTTGGTATTTCTTTTCCTTAATTCATTAAATGCTAGTGAAATGGAGGCAAACAGTCTCTAGCTAAGCATTCTATGGTGAATGGTTGATGATCTCACAGTCTACTCACCTTGAAGAAAAACGGGTTATAAATTCACACTCTTGTCTTTTTCTCTCTTATGTCCAGTTTTGGAATACCTGATTATAATTTTTCTTGGCGGTGTAGTAACTGCCACAGTCGTTCTGGTCTTGTTCTGACTGCTGGGGGTTCAGGGCAAATATGGATGTGTGCTTTTTGGTCTGGGAGGGGTGACATTTAAGTTTTATTGCTAAACACAATTTCAAAAATGACAATAACAGTAATTGACATGGCCCCCATTTGTTTCTGTAAAAAAAAAAAATTAAAAATTCATATACTTTTTGTGGGGGGTCCCCTGTCGGTCAAGGGCCCTTGGAATTGTCCCAACTTTTCCCCACCCCTGTTGGTATTAAACGACAAGATTCCTGCTCCACTGGGAAATACAACAGTACAATGTTGTGTTTCTACTCCTAAAACTATGTCGGGAGAGCTACTGTTAACATATCTTGATACATTCGGTTAATACAGAACTGTCAGTTAAGGAAGTTTATTTTCACCTTTAAACATTGGAATGCTTTTAAAAATAAACATGTTTTGGTTTCTCGTAGTTATCAGACGTAGATTGCCTTTACATTTCCACCGGTTAAAGGTAAGTAAACAAATATCGTTGTATTTTAGAAAATTATGTTTTCATCGACCACTTTCTATAATGCACTTCTGAAATCTATGTAAATATGCAATCAACTTCAGAGATAATTGGGGTGTCTTTGCTCCGCCTGGTGATGATAAATAGTAAAAGCATGCAAATCATGACTTGCATGGGTTATGGTGAAGTGCATTAACTTAAGCTGTCTATTACTTACAGTTGCTAAATATTCATATTTCATAATTTATAAATCATGTTTCTGTGAAGCTTCAGCTGACATCATCTAGCCATCAGAAGGTGTGATGTCCAACTCTAAGACAGGAAATAACTGCTGTTTCCAGAACAACTGCTATAAAATGTGTAACTTCATTTCATGTCTAAGGGTATGATGAAGAGTCAGGTAGCGCTCCTTTATGTCCTGATCATTATGTGTGGAGGATGGGCCCAAAGCCTGAAACCTCGCCGGAGCGTTTCCTTTTCAGGTGAGGCATCTCTGCAGCAGCAGTGAAATGTCCAGACCAGTGCAGAAGTATTCACATCCTGTGGACTTTTGATCATTTTGGCAGGTCGCAAATAAAGCTCTAGTGTTTCATTGTTGGCTGAACAGTGGTGTAGTTGATAGCACTGTTGCCTTGCAGCAAGGAGGTCCTTGGTTCGATTCCCGGCCCGGGATCTTTCTGCACGGAGTTTGCATGTTCTCCCTGTGCATGTGTGGGTTCTCTCCAGGTTCTCCGGCTTCCTCCCACAGTCCAAAAACATGACTGTCAGGTTAATTGGTCTTTCCAAATTCTCCTTACGTGAGTGTGCGTGTACGTGGTTGTTTGTCCTGTTTGTCTCTGTGTTGCCTTGCGACAGACTGGCGACCTGTCCAGGTGACCCCGCCTCTCGCCTGGATCGCAGCTGGCGAGGCACCAGCACCTCCCGACCCCGTTAGGGACAAGGATGACCGGAAAATGGATGGATGGATGGTTTTATTGTGACTTTGAATGACAAACCAACTCAAAGCACTGCATAAAATGGATAGAAATAATACGAGTGTAGAATGAAGATGCCGTCTACCCCCTCTTACTATGATATCTCTAAATAGAATGCAGAGAACTAAATGGTCTGTTGTGCCTTCAACTTTCACTCGAATGTATAAGAATGTTTAAAACCTTTACTTCTGTTTATGGATAACGGTTGCCTGAGGATAACGGTTGGATTCTTTCCCTCAGATGTTAACCTGAAGCTGTTTGAGGAGCTCGACTTTGATGGTTTGAGCTCCCTGTTGGTGAGAGAAGACATCGGTCTGCTCTTCATCGGAGCCAGAGGAAAGGTCATCACGCTCCGTTTGGATGACATCGCTGAAAAGACCAGTGAGGTAGGAACTGGGCTTAAGTGGTGAAACATCAATGAAAATACACAAAATGAAATGAAAAGAGATACTTGTCCTTAATGGAAAACCCGAAATATGAGTGGCATTTCTAAAGTTACATGGTAAAAAATTAGATTCAATAATATGGGTAATCAACCTGTTTTTGGAGGAATACATGTGGATTTATTTTCCAGTCATTTTATTCGTTCATTAGTAAATGTCATTTTCCAACTATTTAATTAACAACCTAAATAGTTTGTAAGTTACATATTTATTTAGCTCTGGAGTAAATATGTAGCTTTTAACCAAAGTATTTGGTTTGCTAACTAAATATTTAGATTAAAGCTAAATAATTAGTTAGAAAGCTTTGCAAAATTAACCTGCTTTTTGTCCTCACATGACATAGTAACACTTTATTTGATGGGTTGTGCATAAGACTGACATAACTCCTGTCAGGAAGTTGCAAAGTTGACACTTTCAATGGCCTTTTATTGCACTTCTAACACAACTTTGCGTGAATGTGTCATTATTTACAGAATAACACTTCATGACAACAGTCATAGACATTTATAAAGTCTCCTGCATATTCAGGCCTTATGTTACGGTTATGACAATGTCATGTCAGTCTTAACTGTGTAACTTTACTAATGGCACTCCATAAGATGCATTTTTTACTTTCATATTAAAAAGACAAAGGAATTTTACAAACATTTTCTGAAAACCACATGGAGCTCTTGTATGATATCTTTTAGACTAAGTGGACGGTGAGTTCTGAAGACAAATCAATGTGCCAGACAAAAGGCAGGAGCATCGAGGTACACTACAGCACATTAAAATAAAGAAATGATATATTATTCACTTTAATTTAAAACAGTCTGTTTATAGAAATAGCTGTTCTTCTAACAGGAATGTGACAACTACATCACGATGATGCACACTCAGGATGATGGCAAAATTCTGATTTGTGGAACCAAAGCATTCGACCCTACCTGCACACACCTGGTACGTTCCTCCCATAACTAAGGCTGGAGTTGTTCTGTAGTATCAGACCCACTGGCTGAGCATTTACTGTGTCAGAGGAATTTAATTCATTGCAATGAAACAAGAAAGAATGTTAAAACATGCAGACACATAAAAAAATTAGTATAGTTTTTAAATCATTATAAATTATTTGATATTTTTACAGATGCTTAAAGGAGGAAATGTCACCATGGAACCCACAACTGAGAGCGGCAGAGGGAAAATTCCCTTCAACCCTGAACAAAAATTTGCCTCCATGATGAATGGTTGGTGCAAAACCTGATGTTTTGATCAGTGTCTCATTCTCTGGATTAATCATTTCTTATGTTCTTGTGTAAATTGGTCTGGATTCCTTATGTTGTGTGTCCTGTGTGGACTTTAACAGTTCTTGACCAAACAGTAGGTGAGCATTGAGAAAGTTTGTCATATGAAATGTTTAGTTGTTCTCCTACTTCAGAAATAGTTGATTAGAGAGAACAGCTTAAATAGTCTTCAAAATTCCTCTGAGGTGAACAGATTGTGTTAATGTGATGTCACATTGCTTTCTAAGCCTGTATGCTGCCAATGTGTAGCAGAACCTAAATTTTTGTATGAATTCAACTCAATTGAGAATGTTATGCGCAGATATCCTGCAATCCAATTGCTTTCCAATTTGTTTTTGTTTGCAATAAACATTGTCGTTGCCGCAACACCCCCTCCCCCCCCTTCCTTCACTCACTACTCTCTCAGTCACTACTTCTTCTTCTGAGAGGGGAGATGTGCTACCAGCTCTCCATCTAACGGGTAAATTGAGTTTCCTAAATCTGCTGGGATTTACCCGATCCAGAACTGAAGTAAACTCTGTTTAAGCTGGTTTCGAGACAGGATTCGCCTGGTTTCTGATGGCCTACATCCAGATATCTCGTCCTTCTTCCCCCTGTGAATTAGCCAGACTGAGCAGCCTGCAGCCAACTAGTTTCACAGAGCACATCCGTTAACATCCTTCTCTTTTTAACAACTTGCACTTGTTACTGAACCAGTTTGGTTCTGGTGACTCGGGCCAGTCCCAAGGATGTTGTTTTAAATTTGGGCTAAAGCAACCTATAAAACATTACCTACTTTTCTTCCCCAGAATCAAATATCACACCTATTTTACTACCATCAAAGAACTTTGAGGTGACTCATTAATTGAATGTCCACAACATCTTTTAGATTTTCTTTATGCTAAATTTTTTATTAGTAAAGCAATTTTGCAAGGGTCAGTACAGCTTAAGTAGCAGAAATAATCAAATAAGTAAAATCAATCATCTAGCCTGTCTTTCCCTAATGCTGATACTAAGAACTAAAAAGGGAACCTTTTGAGAGAGATGAGGACGTTTGGTGTTTCGAACCCCAGAACTGGATCGATGATGAAGAAGGTGTTGCAGCAGGAGGAGGAGGTTGATTGATGAAGGCAGGGATCTCTGTTGGTCTGATGAGCTGTCATCTCTGCATCGATGGTGAGGTCGCACAGGACTTGGGTCTTTATCTTTGCCTTGATCTTCATCTTTGCCTTGGTCTTCATCTTTGTCTTTGGGGTCTGAACCCAGCCGATGAGAGAAGTGCGATTTGAAGCCACATGTTACGGGGCTGATGGATTGGTCCCCATGTGCAGGACAGTCTTCGGCTCTATGGCCCCGGCTCTTCTTCACCTGCAGAGTTCTTTGTCCATCTCGGTCTTGACTCGAAGCTGCCTGGAGTATCCAACCAAAGATTCCTCTTTTGCTCTCCCCTTATATAGGGTTTATACCTGCTTTCAGTGCATTTTCATTGGCTAACACTGTTGCTGTGCTTTATTGGATAACTTGTTTGGACAGATAAACTCATATCCATCACTGTCTTAGAGACATTTTGTCCTGATGTCTTGGCTAATGTCTGAGGGTTGCTCAACGTTCCTCCCATGTCTCTGACATGTTTAAGTTGTTCAACAATCTATGTCCTAATAAGGTCTTGGTCATCTCTGCTTTTCTATTAGTCCCCATTTTACCCCTAACCTTTCACCTTCTATCTACCTCCAACACATCATCAGTGATCTTTAATAGCAGTTACATGTTTTACCCCTTTTCAAGTTCAATGTCAAAATCACATTCATAAACCTTTTCCTTTCTTTGATTTAGCATTCATTTATAATTTTATGATTACCACATCTTATTACTCTTTAATTATTTGATACCAAAGTTACACTTACTTGTTTTACTTGTATGTTTTTCCACAAGTGTAAGTAACTATTTTTATAAGTAAACCAATATTAATATAAGTACTTTAGTTTAAATCTTATCTAATTACTCAAAATGTTTAGATTTTATCCTTTAAAACTTTTATGCTTTTAAACAAGGACTGGTCTCAGCTATTTTTATAAAGCTGCAAGCTTACTTCCTCTTTTTCCAGGAAACCTGCTCTTCCTGTCTCATCTCTCTCTGACTGATTTCTTATGATTAGATAGAAAAAATAAGTATAATTAAAGCAAACTTTACAGGAGACAAAAACAACACACACAACCAGATTTATTTTATTGCAGTCTGTGTCTACTGTTGGATCTAGATGTGATTGGTGTGACTTATTTTAAAGGTAAATTTATTTGTTGTTACTGTTAACTAAAATCTCCAGCATGGGGAAGTAGGATGATCTTGGATTTTTCTTGACACCCCCTCTTCGAGGTCAGACCTTTCCCATGCTGGGGGTCCAACACCCTCCTGCAGTTAGAGTTCATTCCTGGAGAGAAGAAGAGGTTCATCTGGGATGCTGGGATGTGAAGATGCAGATTCTTCATCCTCAATTGTCCTGAAGGTCTCAGTAAAGTCATCAAAACTCCACTTCTCTTGACAACATCATCAATTAAGATCACATCCACCAAACTAATTATACAATTTTAACATCCCCAATTAGGTCTTATTATATAAACCATCCCTGTTGCACACACTAAACCATTCCTATGCTCTCTAAAGGAGCAATTAAGTCAGTAAGTTTGCTTTTTTGTAAAAAAAAAAGAAAAGAAATTAAATAAATTCCAGGCAGAAGAGTATCTTAATCTGTTTTTTTAATAATTTAATTATTTGCTTTAATTATGCCAAATTCTGATTGCTCCTGTTCCTTTACTAATCCCCCACACTATTCAGAATCTCAGTTTATTATATCAATTTAGATTTGAGTCATACGTTATTTCTGAGAGGAGAATGTTTTGTAAGAAATATAATGAACCTTGAATCAACCTGCAGCTGTTTCATAATTTTCTATTTAAATCATATACCCAATCCTATTTATTATACCCATCCTGTAACCTTCTTTTAAACAACTTAAAGTGGCCAATTTCAATGAAAAAAGGTTTTTATATCTGAGGATAAAATAAGACAAATATTTAGAATAGGCCATGATGAAAGATCAAGTCTGCTAAAGACCACAATTTCTCAATTTTCATTCATGTTGAATCTCCTTTTATGCAAGTCCAAAATATGTGTAATATCATAATAATTTATAAAATTTGTATTGTGCTCCAAGTAACTCTGTTCTAATTGTGATCCCATTGTAACAAATAACCCCAAGCTTAAGAAAGTAAATGTCGAAATTTAGTTTCAAATTTTCATTAAACCAAACAAATTTGAAGCCGTTATTATAAGTGAAGCAACATTTCTAGAGTTTCAAAGCAGCAGATGTTACCCTGTTTTCAATATTACCTGTAAAATCTTAACCCTCCTATTGTACAAGCACATGATTTTGCTTATAAATACATTTTGATGTTAAAGTATGATATTCAGATTTTTTTTTAGAAATCTGTGCAGTATTTGTTTTAAATACTTCAATTTATTCATTCAATCTTGTTTTTTATGACAACCTTACATTGTAGAATGGCCTATTTGTAATCATCCTACCGGAGTCTCTTATAAAGTGCTCATTCTGTCAGATCTGTCAGATCTGAAAACCATCACTGTTATCTGTGTTAAATCTGTAAAATTCATACCTGCAGTTGTGTCATCTTAGGTTTCTATCATTGGTCTGCAATTAACATCCATCTCCTCATATAATGAATTTTCTGTGCAAGGAGATCAGAAATAAATTTATTCACTAGTGTTTTTCCATCTTTCTTCCTGTAACTGTTGGAAAAGCACATTTCATTATTCAGTTATTTTACGTCCATCTTTAAATAACTTTGTGATAAGTGAATATAAATTCAGTTAGACAACCATTTTTATTTATTTATTTTTTCTTTTTCACCATTTTATCTCAGTAATTCTTATTCAGAAGATGCCGCCTTCGAAGGAGTCCCGTCTTCTGTGAGGAAACCTATGAATTGAACTGATTGTAAATGTCACATGATTATATGAAATATGCAATCCAGTTTGAGAACTGAAGTCAGAACTGAGAGACAGCATGGCACCCCTGCTGTGTCTCCCAATTGTGCTCTGCTGAGAAAGCGAGAAATTTGTAAATATGTTATTTTTTCCAATATGAAACACACAAATTTCAAAGTAATTTATCCTTCTCAACCACACCAAAATCCAAATATCTTGAAATACTGGTTTTCAACTGTGATTATTGAAAGAACTCTTTAAAAAATCATAAAATGCAGATGAAATAGTTGTTTCATAGTGATCTTCCCCCGCCTTGTTCTATACTGTGCCCCCATGGTGAGAGCAGGATCAATGTATTCAGCAATTAGTCATAAAAAGTTTTATTGGGCCACTGAGCAAAGATGCCCACAGATCATTCGTGCTCTGACAACAAAGAACATCATGTTTTACCTGTGACCAACAAAACAATCCAGCAGTATAACAGCCAACAAAAACAATTTTGAATGGTTGTTAATAATATTCTCATTCACCATCCATCAACACAACCACAAGACAAACAAACCAACAAACCTCAATCACAGCTGCAGCACCACAAATACTCAGACACACAACTCAATGGTCCCCTGTTAGAAAGATACTCAAGTGCACAACTCTGCAGGGCTGTCACTCTAAGACACACTAACACAAGCAGGCCTGACACTTCCATAACTGCAAAATTAATGCAGTGTGGTCATCACAATCCAAAAACACTCAAATGTTCAATAAGGTCAGCATCCTCCAAGAACAACACACTAAAAACAATTAAAACAACATATCCCTTAGACCGGGTTTTCTTTATTTTTCCATCACTTAGGTGCCCCAAAAACTCAAATGGAGAGACTTTTTAGGGGTCCTAAGTCTACAAAAATCCACTTCTTGCATTCAGCCTTGCAGCTAGCCAATACCTCATCAGGCTTTACCAG